TTTTGTAAAACATAATATACTTGGTCAAAAGCGAAATTGGACTTTATAATAATTAGTATATGAACACGAATATTATTTTGTATAGGAACAGCAATTATTGAAAAACGAAGGAATCGGCGCGTGTAATAATATCGTATAGGCTGATATTATAGAGAGAAACGCCACGGGACCGGGATTATTAAAATAATAATATTATGTTAGTGTTATTATACTATCAATCAAGCGTTTGTTTTGCACGTATTATACATTCATTAATCTTTAAATCCTAATAATTGAGCGTGTAGAACTGGCAACTGTCTATTTCAATTCTAGAGTCGGAAAGTCGACTTATGGTTCGCACAGAATTCCACGAGATTATTCTTAACCTTAATTACGGTGTGTTAGAAATTAACTCCAACAATTTTAATAGCTATTATAATGCATATTATGTTAGATACCTATACGGCTATACGGCTATATACATCTTCTTATAACACGCATGTACTATATTATAATGCGTTTTAGAAAAATACCTGAAATCGGCAGTTCGCTTCAAATCACGCATCTTTGGGAAATATTTTCGAGTTTTCAAACCATAACCCCCTCAGCTATTCGATATAATATAATATAGGTAATTATTCGGAATGTGCATTTAATATATTATATTATACCAAAATAATATATTATAATATTATATGCAGGACAGTGATGATTTTTTTTTTTAAACGTGATTTATTTGTACGTTTTTACACACGAGAACTCGTTCAAACATCATTTGAAGCCATCAAGACCTGGTTTTATTTTGACGACAAATTGATTTCATGGTCTTAAAATAATGGCCGACGAGCGTTCTATAACCAAACGACTCGATTAATTTAATACAACGCATGACGCTTTCAAAATGGTTTTTTTTATATATAAGCAATGCGCAGACTCGTGTCAACGTTTCCTTTTGTTATATAATTATAACAAACAGAAGAAAATAGATCAATGTCCACTGTCCTGTACTTAATATGTATCCACTATATTATTTGTTTAATTCGTAGCCAGCTATTTCGTATAGGTACGCTAATTAATAAGATAGGTAAATAAAATATTATTGTATCATATTCGACATAATCATATTTCATATACCTACCCATATGTTGTATATTATACTTAAATTAGTTAATTTTTAATATTTTTACAGTAAACTCCGTTAGATTAGCTCACCAACCACCAGGAGGGGGGGGGTCAAGACCTCTGATCTCGCTTTGCATCTCGAAATGTATATCTGTAGTTTAAAATATTTTAAAATAAAATATGTAAAACATTTTTAAAATAATAGAGGGTTTATCATAGGCGTTGTAATGTTGTGTGCCCACGGTCCACTTTGTAACATACCTAATGCACGCAGTAGAAATTAAGAAATAGAGCCGACTAGCCAACTGCAATATACATTATAATCATAGGCGTGCGCACAGGGCGTGCCGGGCGTGCCCAGGCACGCCCCGAGATTTTTCAAGGGCCGAAGCGCCCTATGTCTCAAACATGCTTATCAGTACAGGAGAACTGGGGTATCACCAAGTAATCCTCATCCAAGACAACAATACATAAAAAAGATTTGAGTTCATTTTTGGCATGTTTATGATGCATCCAATATTAAATCTTATTTTAAAAGTTAGCTCAGTACTTCAATCGCCAAAACTAAATCTTTTGTTGGCAATTGATAATGTACGGTCTTTAACATTAAATTTTAAAAGTATGAGAAATGAAAATAAAGAATTTGAAAATATTTTTGAACAAGCAGTTGCTTTATGTAAAAAACATGGAATAATTGTTCCAGACGTTATTCGTAAAAAAGTATTGACTCAAATTGATAACAAATCTAAATCTCAATTTTTTTTTAAAAATAAATTAGATGAAATGAAGATATCAGTTTATTATGAACTACTTGATGATTTATTATCGGCAATGGATTCAAGATTCAATCAAGAAACTTTAAGCTAAATTGAAGCTATTGCTAGTCTGCTACACATGGAAATAAAACCTGAAATGATTGTTGTTTATGGTACATCTAGTGAGTCCATTTATTTGTGCCTTGATTGGCTGAAAACTAACAATAGTATTTCTACCTACAGTTGTTTTTATAAAACCTTACAATTATTTACTATTATCCCAGTCACAAGTTGTACATGCGAAATTGCGAACGAGTCTTTTCCAAAATGACAATTGTAAAATCAAAACTTAGAAGTACGATGAAACAGGAACGATTAGATTCGTTACAGTAAAATGGGGTAACTTTGATAAATTTGTACCGTTTTATTACAATTTTACTTTTTATTTTATGGATAACTTCTGTAGTATTAACGATAAAATTCCAAAAATTAAATCTTAGTTATAGCTAATTATCCTCAATTGTTTAACATTTACATTTTTAAATTTCTGATGTTATCTTCTGAGATAATTTTATTCAATCTTTTTAAAATTGTGGCAACTTTGATACCAGCATTTCGAAATGTGTTATCAAAGTTACCCCAGTTTATGAAAAAAATATTAAATTGTCGTGGTACTATGGTGAATAAAAATATCATATTATCAAAGTTACCTCACGAAATCAAAGTTACCCCATTCTACGGTACTGTTACTATTCACCGAACAAGAGTTGACAAGTGGGATAAACTTGGATTCTGTCATCGATGAGTTCAACACCTTAGAAAATAGACATATGAATCTGTAAATATTATATACTAACCAGTAACCAATAATAATTAATTTTAATATTGACTTGTTTCTGCTCTATTTTTTTCTATAATATCTATACTATACTCTGTCTATGTGTGTATAATGTATAATTCAAATTTTCCACGGGCACGCCCCGAACTTAAACTCTGCGCACGCCTATGATTATAATATAGGTAATTTTGATTTATGGTTGTCGTTATTATTATTAATTAATTATTAGGTATGTCGGTGCACAATTAAAATGTTTTTTATTTAAAACAGTCGTGTAAATTGATTTTAATTTTTTAAATCATTTATACCTATATGTTTATGGAGAAATATAGACAATTTGCGAACCGCATAATACATTAATTATAAATAACAATAATATTCTGCACTTTTTTTGCAACTCTATTATAGGATAATTAAATATCTATAAAGAAAAGTTATTTTTATTTTTATTTTTTTTTTATTTTATTTTAAATATAAACGGACTTAAGTCCTTAACAATATTTTGTGTGTATACACGGTAATAATAACACAATGATAATAGTAATGACAAATAATAATAGTTAATTTAATATTTAATATAATAATAATTTATATATACTATTATATGGTTATACAAGTTACAATTAGTTGTATTAACTAATATATTTTATTGATTGGAATGTACCTATATATAATCCGCAAGAATCAATTTTTTTTGTACTATAATAAATACCTGCTGAATATATTAAATTACTTTTAAATGGACATCAACAAGTTTTTATTGTTTTAATTACACTCAATAAAAATAATGTTTTATATTTATTGTTTTAATTGATCGATGTGGATTGTTCTTTCACTTTTCAATATCAATTATTGCACTGTGCTATTTTGTTGCGAGTAATACACTAATAGCCAATAAGGTATATAACGGCAATATAAACTAGGGGGAATAGTAGCCCCAGGCTCTGACATAATTAGGGACCCCATATATTATTGTAGTACAGTCATGAATACGATTTATTTATAATCTTAAAATATAAACTTAATATTAAAAAAAAAACTGAGTTTATATTTTAAGTGAAGGGGCTTCACCAAAAAAATAGCCATGGGAATCAAAATTCCCCAGTAGGGATCTACTTAATAGTTATTGGCCTGCCATACAATTGCGTGGGTAACCGATACACAAAAGACATACCTACAAGTTAAAATACCTATATTGTAAACCATTTAATGCATATAATACAATATGTATATATGCGAAAGTAATATACAGTTATTATTAATTATAGATGTATATGATATTGTATATTATTGGAATGCATGACTAAAAAAAAGTAAAAAGCTATTTACAACTTCAAACTTTCCGATGATTTTCAATTCTGCATTAAAATTTCAAATATTAAATGTTTAAGTTTATAACCAATCAACCCCATACATGTACCATACATACATAAAATACACGTGTATTCATAATTTACTACGATGAAGAAAAACTGGTCAGACAATGAAGCAATATTAGCCTGCTCAAGTTTTGGAGATAAATAATTTATAATAGCTTTATATAAAAACTATCTTAACAACCCAGCTTCGCTGGTCTGTTAAATAATATTATTTAAATATTTTTATTTTATAGGCTATCAAATATTACATGTAATCTACCCGTATATCAGTTCTAACATTTAATATAATATAATACATTTTCTAATTTAACTTAATTTATGATATTTACATATGATTCTAATGATTCTATACACATATTATTTTACATTTTTTGTAAGAGAAGTGATAGGAAGCCTAGTCCTATTACATAAACTATAAGAATTCAAAAAATAATAAATTCAAATCACTCAGATCACTCGGACGAGTATTTGGAACAACTTTGTGAACCCCCCATTTACATTTTACCCATAATAACTGTATTATTTATATACGAAAACTGTAAAAAACTTGGTTTAATTTATACTTTTCCCCATACCTCCCCCCATTTCATAATCCTGGCTACTCCACTATTCTCTGCACCACTCGGTCATTACTTGCACCAGCTATTTTCATATCATGTCATTCTCACTATGCTTCTTATCCATCTCTCTTCTTCGGTCTTCTTCCTTGTCATCCATACTCTCCAGTATCCCGTGTGCCCATATTTATAAATACTTATGTGAATTAGAGATAATATTATGTTATAAGTACGTACTTATAACCATTCGATAATATAAACTAGAATCTTGTTGGTTTTACAGGTGAAATGCGAAATCCGAGCTGAAGCCAACGAAGTATCGACAACAGTCAACAACAACGAGTAGGAAATTCACAAGACAGAAGATAAAATGGTGTTGCGACCGTGTGAGGAATACGGTAGTTACACGATGGATAACTACCCGCAAACCGGCGGCGGTGGCCATCATTTTTACGAGAGTATTAAAACCGAAATGGAAAGTTTTCGGTTGCGTGGCGCGGACGGAGATTTTTCGGCGTCGGTGGCAGCCACGTCCGATGCATTACTCAGTGACGACACCAGCTCGATAGCGTCAAAGAAACGAATAGACAGTATGTTCAAGACGACCGCTTCCGTTGCGGGCGACACTAAGCGGACGTCCGGCCACCGCACTGGCCGTCAGACCAAGTCGTTGGCCGACGACAAGAACCACTACGATGAAGGTGCAGGTGGCGGATATTTTGATTACGGTTATGCCCCCGGCACCAACGATAAAAACAACAACTGCAACAATAACAACAATAAGAATACGGTACAAGAGAAGATCGAAAAGATGTTTGCGGAAATCAGTTCCTCGGAACTCGACACGGATGTATCGATGGACTCCTCAGCGGTTGCAGAGACGGGTAGCAACAAATTCCACGTGCATTACATAGGGTGCGCGGGGCTGTCGGGCAAGATATCATCATTGGAGGGCCTTCAGAAGCCCGTCCGAGACATGTACTTCGGTTACCGGGAAAACCAACACCATTACCGCGGCGGTGGTATCCCGAACCGTGGTTATTACGACGACGAGGTCCGGACCGAAGCGCGGCGTGACTTCTCCGGGCTGTTGGAGATATCGGCAGCCGGTCTTACCATCCGGTACAGGAACGGGTTGGGTGACACGGAGCAGCGAACCAATGCATTCCCATCGATCGCTGTGTGGGCGGCTTTGAAATATGTGTGCCGCCGCCGGTCGCCACCACCGCAACGGAGAATCGTCGGAGAAGCCACCACCACCGTCGTCGGTTACGAGTACGCTTTCCTGCCGCTGATCGCCGATCCAGATGGTTCGGACAAGGCGCCGCTGTTTCGGGACATGGACGCCGGCGACAGGGCCCGGCTGGACGCAGCCGGTGACCACGCACCCGTCTTCGCGGTGGTCACACGCGCGGCCGGCAAGCGGCTTGAATGTCACGGGTTTGCGTGTGAGACAGAAAACGACGCTTTGCTCATGGCAGCCAACCTATACGGGGCCCTAGTAACGGCTATGTCTTCGGCCGCGGCGGCGGTAGACGTGGACGCGCCGACGTCCGGTGAGGCGGCCGGACGACGGGCCGCTCCTTCGGCCAGGCGAGTCATCCGACAGCGGAACGGGTTCACGAGCATGAGTAGCACGGCTGGTTCGAGCGTGGCCGGTGGTGGAGTAGGGGAGGAGGCGCCCGCCTTACCACCGCCTCGTCCACCACGCAGGAACAAAAAGTCCACATCATCTGTCAGCGCTTCGACGTCGGCCGGCGATGACGGGGGAAGCGTTCCGTCGGCAATGACTTCGGTGCGGACAGACGACGACAGAGGTGGTGACGTGTGCAGCGGTGCTAAAACGTTCCAGTTGACTGTCAAACAGCCTCCGTCGCTCCAACGGGGTGTGTGTAACAGTAGCAGCGCTGCGGGCTTGGCGGACATGCAGTCCCGCAGCACTAGACAGCAACGTTTGGATGGTGGCGGTGACATACTCACCAAAGTGGCCATACCCAGGAGCAGGAGTTTTCTGAATTCCAACGGGCTGGCGTCCACTAAGTACTCGAGACGGGCGGCTGGTTGCGGGATCGAGACGGCCGCGGCAGACAGGCACCGACGCCGAAGCAATGGTAGCGGTGTCATGGGCTTCTCGGACATGTTCAACGAGCTGCGCGCACAAGAGGGCCTGAACAACATGGACGACATATTAAACGCCATCATCAACGTGGAGGGTATGTCATACAATGACCTGAAGCCCATTTACAAGGAGTTTCTAATGAAATTGGCGTTGACGCTTACCAAAGACGAGCTGTACCAGCGTACCAAAGCAATAATGACGGAACAGAAACGTAAGCGGAACAAGCGGCGTCCAGCGGTAGCCACACAGGCGGCCGGCCGCGGGCGACGTTTCAATGACAAGCTGCGCGATGCGTTCAACTTGCGGGCGGCCAAGTCGCGAATCGGCTCAGTATTGTTGCCGGATTTTTGCAAGCGCCAAAACCGGAACAGTACGTCCAGGAAACAACAACAACAACTAGTGCAGCAACATCAACAACAACAACAAAAGCGACGTCGATGTTCGTGTTCGATGATCACAGGATCATCCACCAGTCCAGCGGACCGGAAACCGGAACGCAAATTTCAGCGGCGGGTCACTGCGGGCAAACGATCAGCGGTCAAGTCGGCAAGCAAAGGCCGACAAACGTCAGCCACATCGTCGTCACCCGTTTGCAGCACTTCCGATGACAGTGACTTTTTTGCTGCCGCGGCGATGCGACAACGGCAACATCAACAACTCCAACAACAACTGCTGCAGCAACTGCCACAGCTCTACAAGAAGACGTCCAAAAAGCGTGGAGGCGGTGGTCGAGGAACGGCTACAGCGTCCGAGGCTGGTTGCCTGCACCGGGCGTCCAGTGGTTACTTTAGCTGTTCCGAATGTAGCGGTGGCGGTGCGGCTGACGAAGACGGGTGCAGTTGCTGCGGTGACGGCGCGATGGAACCCACGTCGCTGGTGTCATGCAGCTGTGACTCGGACAGCTGCGCGGACAGCGACAAGTGTTACTGTGGCCGTCCTAGGCGCCCACGGAACATATTCGATGAGCTCAAGAGCCGCGGGTTCGCCGCGTCCGAGTCGAGCGTGTCGAGGGCAGACTCGCCGGGCACCGCATGGAAAAAGAATGAGCTACTCATGCTGCTGCAGCAACGACACGACGATAGCGGCCCCGGTATGTGCGGCGAATCGTCTCCCGCGGCTACGGGCGGCGGCAAGTGTGGCATCGAACCGTCCAAGAGCATCGAATACCTGCAGATGACGCACCGGGCCCGTCCGAGCGTCGCCACCAACGTCACCGGCGCAAAATCGACCCCGGCTGCTGGTTCGTCGTCTTCGCCGTCGTCATCCTTGTCCGCGGCCACCGTGTACTCGTCGTCGTCCGCGGTGCACCAACGTCGGCCCCAACCATCACGCGGTGCCAAACACCACCACCGCCGTTCGGGTTCGAGCGGTTCGGACAACTTTCGCGCTATCGATTACGCGCTATTCGCGGCCACTGCTGACGGCGCTGCGGGGCAGCGAAAGACACGCGGCTGCGGTGGCACCCGTCAAAATCACCGCCGTCCGGATGTCTCGATGGCCGCCTCGTCGTCGTCTGTCGCGGTGGGCAGGCGGTCGTATAGCTCCGAAGCGGTGCACATGACCGGCTGTCGGGTGCAGTACGGCGGCCACTCGCGACAGCCTGCACTGCCGCAGCAGATGAAGCAGAAGGCCAGGCGACATTCCGTCCACGACGGCGGCGGCGGCGATGAAGTCCTGTCAACCTTTTTCAAATCAGGCATTGAAAACTCGTTAGGCTACTATCCGTGACGATTCGCGCCGCGTTGAAGTGGCGCGGCAAACGCTCGTTTCTGTAAGGTGTGTACCGTGTGTGTGTGTGTGGGTGGGGGGGTCGAAATTGTTTGAGATGTTACCACCGCCTACGTGCAGTATTCAATATACTTCGACAAATAAATGGTTTAGTCTATTTTGATTCATACCAATAATACAATTCGTGTAATATAATATAATTCGGGAGATCATCTCGATTCTCCACCATATATATAATATATTATATCTAAAATTTTCAGGCTATACAGATACTTCGACTACCACTGTTCCCGTGCTGCTTTATATTGTTTTTAAGACAATTTTGTAATCTACAAGACAAATAAAAATCAATTAAGTCTGCTCAACAAGACTCAAACCGTAAAGCATATTTTACGACTGCAGCCCCAACAAACCGATTTTTTAAGGCCCGAATTTTCACCTCCACTGAGATTTGCCACGAATAGAAAATGTTCTATATGACTTTTCCTACCATTGTAGTATATGGTATTAACCATAGTATTTGATCGAAAAGACGAGTATGTTGGCCACAAATCTAAATTATACTCTGGAAACAGAAATTTTTAAAATGTAATATAGAATTCTGTAGAACAAAAAGTAAGAGAGTAAACCTGTAGGTAACTTTGACACTATCCTATGCGTGTTTATTATTACTATTACATGTAAGTTGTTTTTTTTTTTTGTATAATATTATGCTTTAAGTATTAAGTCTTGTAAAGCAGACCTATTTTGTCTTTTAGATTATAATATCGTTCTATAATAATATACAATGCAGTGTTAACATGGGGTAGTTGTGATAACCGATAAGTACCTTATAGTTCATCTTATAACGAAATAAGCCAATATTTAACAGTCACCAGAACACAGCCACCCACCACCCATTTCGATAGGGGTGTCGGCATACATCCCTTTACTCCTTCCTCCACTAAAAGAGTGACGACAAGGTTTCGATGCTTCATTAATCATTATCATCGTCATTATTATTATTTATTATTAAATTTTTTTATAGTTACATATTTGTTTCTCCGAGTTTAGGTATGCGCTCGCACGTATTTACGAGTTAATGTAATTTGTTCTGTAAAAAGCTAGAGTTGGGAGAATGTTTATCTAAATAACTATTCGAAAATAAATAAAAAATTATTCGAATAAATATTGGTTTTTTGCCAGAATAACTAATTGTATTTTAAAACTATTTGAATAATTTTTTATTAGATTAATATTGTGTTTAAAAATGATGCAAATAAAATTGTAATTAAATGATTGTTTAAATAAAAATGTATTTGAATAATGTCCTACTCTGTCTCTGTGACTGTAAAAATATATATTTATCATACGTATTAATCTATATTATTATAAGACATTAGATGTTAAAATATTATTTTTGTGTAGTGTACGGTGGATACAATTAAGCAGTATAGTAAATAGGTACCTAGGTTCGTATTTTATTTTGATTCGACGCAATAATTGTAAGTATTTTGAGTGCAATATAATATAAAACGATATAGGTGTATTATCTATTACTTAGTATGTACTTAATAGACATTGTTTTTGAGATAAGGATTAAAATTAATATAATATTCATAATTTATAAATACAGTAAAACTCGCTTAAGACGCCTTCCCGCATAAGACGCTACTTTCCGTCGGTCCCTATTATATCATCTATGATATTAAAGAGCGTCTTAAGCGAGTTTTACTGTATATTATATATTGTTTTGCGTACCATTTCTATATGTAATAAGTTCTTTTTAGTATTGAAATAATTTATGATTAAGTTGTGTACTTGTGTCGTAGTTTGTAAGAAATATTATTTAAAACTCTTAACATCTACACTATACTTATATATATATTATATATATTAATATTATAATTATTTATTTACTTATGAAAATTAATATTTTTGGTTTTATTTTAGAACTTACGGATTTTTACTTTTAATATTTTGAAAAAGAATTTTTAGATTGTTGTTAAATATTGGAACAAATATGAAATGCTGATTATTGAATCATCTGTATTTTTTTTGTATATCTATATTAATTATTATTTATACAATTTTGACTAATTCAAAGTTTATAGAATAAAAGGTAGTAGGTTTATACCTATATAAAATTGTAAAGCATAAAAAATTATGTTGTTATAATATTATAAATTATAATACTTACCTATAACAATACTGTATTATATTTGTCTACTTTTATGTTTTCCCGTGAAATTTTCCTGAATGTCTTATATACATTAAAAAAAAGGTTTAAAATTTAATACAATGCTCTTAATATATTGTTACAATGACATTTGAAAAATATTAAATATTCAGTCATATTTTTTTTTATAATCATTTTTTTTTTTATTTTTTATTTTTATAATTTTCATTTACAATCTGTTACAATAAAAATATGAACAATAAGTAAAATAGATAATTGAATGAATAAGTGGCTTGAGGAAAGGACGGATTTAAGAAGCCTTCCAGTGAAGACCCTTTGTCAGCTGTTTATATACATTTCAATAAGTTAACAATTATTTATAAATAGAAAAATATTAGATAATTAACTAAATTAATAGGTCCCGACACCACCGCCTTTTTAGTCTTTTCCTAGGATTGTCGGGTATGTTTGCCGACGCAAGTCCTTTAATTAGGACTTTAAAGTTCGAATTTTGACAAAAGAACAAAATTGACCAAAATTATCAAATTATTTTGAGTTAAGAATTCATAAAAATTTTTCTTTTTAAATTTAAGATTTGAAAATTTAATACAAGATTACCCATAATTTTGTCTACCATTAAAAAAAATTTCTACAACATAAGCAGAAATCCATTAAAATTGAATCGCCAAAATACATTTTCGAAATTTCCAACTACCTCCCCCTTAATCTGGTATTCTGGTAATATCATTACAAAGTGTGTCGTATAATAGCGTTATTATAGTTATTATATTTATTGATTTTTGACAAAAATAATGATTTATTATAATATTAATTATTTTAATATTATACATATTACTTTATTGTATAAGATTCTTATATCTCAATATATTAGATAGGCATATAGATATAGCCTAATCTACTATCAAAATGTGTACCTATAAGGTACTAGGTACATAGAAAGAATAATCAATTTTAGTTTTAACTTTTAATAATTAGGTACCTACCTACTTAACATTATTTGAAATTAAATTAATTTTTTTGTATGTGTATGTTAAACTTACTCGTCTTTTTTATTTTATAGGAACGTGTTGTGTTATTATTATTTTCTTAATGAGTAAATAGTTTTTTTTTATCAATGCTTTTTTCGCAGTTTGACTGGTTTGGCCATTTGTATAGCTTTTCTGTAGGTAATTCAGAGGAACCCTGAAAATAAGGTACCTAAGGAATATATTTTTTAAAAGTAGATATATAATTATTTATGGTTCGCTCATTACGGAACAATATAAGGTTTGTATTATTAATTTAAAAAAATACCCATCGTGGTATAATTTTTAATAACATTTAGTGAAACTATTTTAGTGTACATTACCAAATAGCCAAGATCGGGCAAGATCTATAAAGAATCTATCCTCGTATATATCGATCTATTAATCTATTTTTCATCACACCGCAATACCGCATGTGGCATGTATCAAAGCTATGCATGCACTGATACCATATGTATATGATGTAAGAACTAAGAGTAGTGAGAACTACTGAGTAGTCAGTAGGTGGTAGGTACTAGTGTACTACTCGTACTATAGGTACAGTATATAGATTATAGGCTCTACTTTAAGAATGGAGCATATACGATCGTACCACATCTGAATCACGAGAAGGATAGACCTACGACTTATCGAAAATGTAAATACGTAATAAAAATTACGGAACATGGGTGAAGACTATAGTGCTATACTAAAAAATTACTTATTAGTTCTATTTGTAAAGTAGGTACCTACTATTAGTAGTATACAGTTTATTTTCACAGACGTTTTTTTCAGCGTTAATTACACCATGTTCAAGTGGGAATGTGTGCCTATTAGAGGACACTGATTTTACCATATTGCACATCACGGGGAGATTACCCACTCATCGTCCACCTATTTGCCGCTCACACAAAAATATTTACCGTATTTACATTATTTTATTCATGCTGGTGTTATGGACGCGCACTTGGCGATTCCGCACAGATAAAATAAAACGAGTTTAAATTACTTTGGCTCAAAATAATATTCTTTATTTAATTGTATTAACGTTTAATTATATGAAATGCTCTGAAATGGTCTGTTGTGACACCAACACCGACTCTAACTGCTACGCGTGTGCGAGCCCCGCATAAGAGCGTTTCAAAAAGGGTTTGTTCAGCAGATTCCTTAGACCAGTCGTATGGAGAAGGGAGTCCTACTCGCCTGTGTCACACACGTATCAGTTTACAATATTATTAAACAGAAATTTGAATTAATACTACAAGAACTATAGAATAATATAACTAACAGTATTCAGGGGTTCTTAACACTGGTTTCACTGTAGTTCATTTTTTCATAAATTTTGATGTGAGAAGAATTTGATTTTTCCCTTATGAAATTATATTTTATGATAAACGGATCAATATGTCCCCAAGAAAAAACGGATCAAAAAGTCCCCAGCGGACCAAAATGTCCCCTGAGGACGATTTGATCCGTTGGGGACAATTTGACCGCTTTTGAAAACTACTGGGAAATTTAAATTTTGACCTCCCCAATGCACCAACGATATTCACTTTCCAATCGAACAAGATACTGAAGTTGAAAATCGAAGCATTATTTCGACTACTTATCGTGTACACAGACCCAAAATAAATAAAAAAAAGGTGGGTAAGTGGATGTCGCTCTGCTGTACAGTAGGTTACAAGTGGGTCACTGTATAATTGATGCTATTAAATTTGAATTCAATGATACAATATCATTGTATAAGAAAAACGATTCTGAGCGAAGACGGTATGTCAGTCTAGGTTAAGACAAATTATATACATATCTATGGTATT